TGTGCTCATCCATTTCCCCTTTCAGCTTGTTCTCCAGGGCCATTAGGTGCTTCTGATGTTGCCGCCTCATGCGTTTGTATCCTGACATCTGCTCCCTCAGCTCCGAGTCCTGCTCGTGTTCTTGCATCTCACGTGTCACCTACAATATGACGATGAAGAAGAATTATCAGAACGTTGTTGTTACACTAGGACATTCCACTTATCTGATTAGACACTTGTGCTTGTGAGTGGGAAATAAATCTACTCGCAAGTCTCCACCAAGGAATTTTAAACATTTGCTAAACATAACACATAATATTTCAGTCCTTTTGTCAAATCAAAGGAAGGTTTAGTAAGCAAATGTATTCTTACAAGTGATGCTGTGCGTATAGTGGCAAAGTGCTCTCTGTTGCGGTAGTGCTTCCTCGGGGCCTGAGCTGGTGTTGGCTGGGGCTCAGTGGGCTCACTGGTGGCCGCTTGTTCCAAAGAGAGACTCTCTTCTTCCTCCTGGAGGGGGGTAAGACAACAGAATAATTGAGAAGATACACTACACAGTGTAACCGTGGACAGAGCACATTCAAGACACTTGGAGCATTGACATGTATGCATGGACTGAGAAAGTGAAGTGATGTAACTTGAGCCCAAGCTCCCAGCGAAGCCATGTGAGGCTTTATTATAAACTGAGATCAGAAGAATCCACCTTTAAATTGTTAGCATGTGTCCGAGTCGTTTCACCTACCGGTTTGAGGTGTATGACTGAGCTGTTGGACATGACTGTGTGATCTCCTTCCATTAGGTCCAGCTCACTGCGGCTGTCCTGGGCTGCTTCATTCAGGCTGTTGACAGAGCTGCTCTGGGAGCTAGCACTGATAGACATGCTGGGGATGGACTGATTACTGCCAACGCTGTTCACCGTTCCTGTCCGACCTCCACCAGGCTCCAGGTCCTGAAGACAAAGCCGAAAGAGTGGCGCAGAGAAAGACGGCGTGCGAGGGAACAAGAGGAAGAACGAAAGACACAGGAGACGCAGACAGACATGCATACAAACAAGGCATTTAGAGTTACTGAGGAAAGCCCTTTTAAAGTGGCAAATTCATTTGTGTGCCCACATGAAGCCTGTTCTTGTCGCTCAAGTTTGGATGGTAGCCAGCAAACGTTCACACACCTCGTCTGCATCCTGGGCTTCTGAAGTGGGCCCATTGTGGGCCTCCTGAAGGAGGATCTTCTTCATCTTTCGGTACTGCAGGTTATCCAGTTCTCGTACGGCATCCTTGGTTCTCTGAATGAGGTCCATCAGCACAGAGTCTGGACGCTCACGTTGCAGAAACTCGTGCTGTGGGGCGGTGAAAGGAAAGTTACTTGCATGTCCATTTTTAACTGGTAGGTTTCTAAGTAACGTGACAGGAGACGGGGAAATAACATCAGAGAGCCTTAGTAAAAAAAGGAAAAGAAAAAGAAACAGACTAACAAGACAAGCCTATAAAGAGTCCATAGTGTTACTGGTTATGCAAGTCATTTTTTTGCATTACATTTCAAATATTATGAATGTGATGATGGGATATTCAGTACTGCCAAAAGATATTGAATGCAAGTGATGAGGTCATAGCCCTGGGATTTAATGGGAGGATGACTCACACCAGGCAAGGTTGTCTCATACTATGCCCGATCATTGCTGTCCCTTCTCCCTATGCCCCTAACCTCTATGCTGACCTGCACCGACAAAAGCCTTACAGCCCAGGCCTGGGTATACTGCTTCAGGATCAGCAACTCAAGAGCAACCACACCAGTTAAATTGGGGACAAAGGTGCTCAGGCATTGATTGATTAGTGTCAATCTAAGAGTGATGATCCCATTGGTGTGTGTTTATGCCTGAATATTAATATGTATATTCTTTGTCTGACAATGACACAAATTAATTGTTTTCAAGTCTTTTCTTGACTGATCAAATATACTTACACGTCAGAAGTTCTACTGAAACACAAGTGAAGCTTGGATTTTTACACTGCAGTCTCATAACATTAGATGAAATTTGCAAGTTAGCGTATAATAATAAGTTACAGTATCTGCAAACAAAAGAAACACCTACACAAACTGCTCTGTCATGGAAACCCATGCAATGAAGCTCCCAGCACACAGTTCCTAAACACTTCAACACTGCACTAATACTACTGACAGACTGTGAATTATCTAGCAGGGAAGTAATTTCACAAATAAAATTGCTGGAACTTAACTTGCATCCTCTGAAAAAAGCAGAGGGCTAGGCGCTTGATTATTATACACCCGTGACAACAACACTGAAAACACCTGAATTCAGAGGTCAAGAGGTGCAGCTTAATACCTTAATACTTTCTAGTTACTAATAACACTAGTTACTAATACTAGTTATTATTAATCTCTGGCTCTCTTCCACAGTGCGTCTTCTGTCTTGTCTCTCTCCCCTCTTGGACATCACATTTTGGGTTGTCTAGACCAAAATACAAAATTTTGCTCAACAGGGGCCTGATATCCACTTACGAGGACGTTATACTGCCACTGTTCTATCAAAATTTAAAACAAATGTCCTAATATGTGGATCTCATTTTTCTCAGAAACAAAAATCAGGTAAAAAATAAATAAATAAAAAAAATCTGGTAATTCTTTGTTTTTACATTCATCAGGTCCCAATCAGCCCAAATAGCAAAAAGAAACTAAGAATGCCACGAAAGAGTTTGGGTCTTAGGAGGTTAAAGGAAGTTTTTCCTTCCCACTGTTGCCAAGTGCTTGCTCACAGGGGGGCGTCTGATTGTTGGGATTCTCTCTGTATTCATTGTAGGGTCTTTACCTTAAAATATAAAGCCCCTTGAGCGGTTGTGGTTTGGCACTAACCCTAAACCCAAGATCCTCAAAAGGAACATGTGTTATATTAGTTAGTCAGAGATAAAAAGTTAACCCTTAATATATAACATTAAAATCCCAGAATGAGTGCCACAATAGTTAAAATGTCAGCGCATAAGCTACTATTACATTTTGACAATGACTCTTCCTACCATGTGCCTGCTTACCAGAAACCCCATGTATAAGGGGAAGAAATGTGCACAAGAGCAGATCATCCAGACGACTGTCTGTGAAGCTATGACAGTTATGACAGCTAAGAATAATACCCAGGTAGATAAAGTCACGGATTTCCTCGTAAGATTAAAAGGCATTTGCTACGCACTTTAAAGATGGGCATACACTGTGCGATTTTTGGCTTATTTTGAGCCGATTTTTCAGTCGTGCAACCGTTTTGGTGATCGGCCCGAGTTTCGGGCTTCATCGTGTGTCGTGCATCGTGTAGTATACGTGGGGTAACGAGAAGCTTTTCTGTTATAACCTTAATTTTATGGACGCACAGTGTGAGCACTCCGATCGCATCACAGCATCGGGCCGTATAGTGTGAGACCCTGCATCATGACCTACGAACTTCTAACCCCTGCGAGTCAATCGTGCCGTTTGAACAGAAGCTGAATAACGCGACTGAAATAAATCGATGGTTAAGTTGGGCTACAAGTCACATACAGGAAAACCACACTAAGCAGCAGCTAAAAACACATTTCAGCTGATCTTGAGATAGGCACAGTTTTAGAAGTTGACATTTAAAACAAAAACAAAAAAACAAAAAGACAATGTGCAGTGTTTTCATACCCTAAGGACAACTTCCATTAGCAACAGAGAGTCTATTAGCAGGCTAAGCGACAGCTGCTCAGTGACTTAACGATGGACACTGAAGTCACATCTCCATAGTAATTACACCAAGCTCTGTGTGCATGTGTGTGTCTGTACATGTTTTGGTTGTGTGTGTCTCTGTCAGTTTATCCGGAAACAGAGGATTAAAGAATCAAAATAGAAGCTTATGTGAGGAGAGAACAGAGTGCAAACATCACAGGGAGCTTCATCACCAGAGGGCTCGTCAGTATCACATCTTAGCACAGTGACCCTGCTGCTCTCTGTCTCTGTGTTGCAGTGTACGGTACATCAGCACATGTGCGCACACTTACACCCAACATGTCGTCAGAGTGCGGTCGGTCCTGGGGGATTTTCTGAAGGCAAGAATCGATAAAGTTTCTAAAATCTTCTGACCTGGAACAAAGACGAGGAGAAGAGAGACTGTCAAAAAACAACGACACAGAGAGTGGGCATCAAAAACAAACATCATTATTTCAGCTACAAAACACTAGATATAGATAGAATAACTCTCTGCTGACATCCCCAGCAGACGTCTGAATTTAACTACACAGACAATAAACTGTGTGAGTGCATGTGTGACACCTCACCATTCACTGGACTGCAGCGTGGGGCTCTCATTCTGCGCTATGTGGTATAAGGCACTCATTGCATTCATGTTAAACAAGGGAGGCTTCCTCTCCGCTGGAACAGAACGACATCAGTCAGACACCAATTTAATTACAGGGTGACTGGTGTGAGTAAGTGAAGGGTTAACGCTGCCTTTCACAACTGATGAGAAGTAAAAAATACCCAACTTGTGATCAGTAAACACTACTGATGCAACAAAACATCACAATCACTTTGTCAGGGAGAGCAAATCCTTAATCTTTCATTTCCAGTAAAAGTAACTTTCTCCTGCTGTTACATTTTTATTGATACAATAGAGGTCACGTGGTGCTACACTATTAGCACTAGCACCACACAACAAGTTAAGATAACTGTTGATTCTATATTAGCCCACAGGTGTGAGGTAAATAAAGTTAAGACACACAGAATAAAGCACTGTATGAATGTCTGGTTAAATGTGGGTTGCAGGTTAAAGTGCTTTGAGTGCTCAACAAGACTAGAAAATTAGCTTTATAAATGTCAGTTCAATCATACAAACACACTGTCACTCACCTAATTCTATACAGGTAATCCCTAAGGACCAGACGTCCACCTTTCCATCATACTGGCCTTCATCCATAGCTAG